AGAGAAGAGAGAGAGGAGAGGAGAGAGAGAGAGGGAGAAGGGAGGGGTGGGGAGAAACGTTGTTCTCTTTGCTGGGATGGAGGGTGAAGAGGGGTAGGTGGGGTCAGGGTATGAGGTGTCCACACTCCTGGGCTTATGGCTGTCTCCTCCCTGTCAACCCAGGTTATGGGGTGACTGCCCCAAACCCATAACTGCTCGTATTTCTTATTTTCTCTCAGAAACAACCTACAAGTATGAATGGAGCCTAATAAGCCACCCAGCAGACTACCAGGATGACATTGAAGGTCACAGGCCGACGCTTCGCCTCTCCCGAGTAGGTACCTGGACTCAGTTGGCACTGTCCTACCTGTTGAACCCAGATTCAGGTCTCAGGCAGAGGCTGGGTGGTGCAAGCCTGCAGTCCAGGCCCCGCAGAGCCTCAGACAGCAGGGCTGCTGGAGCCCACTCAGAAGAGAAGTGTCCAGAAAGCAGCTTAAGCCATGCAGGTGGACGGGGCAGATGGTCACATAAAGGCTCTGGCTAGCATATCTGCCAGGGGACAGGCGTTGCCCGGCGCCGGCTGTGCAGGGTTAAAAGCCCGTCCTGATCCCACAGCTTTGAGGCGCAGAGCCATCTGCCCCTCACTTCCTGGTCAGGCGTCCCTCAGAGGTGATTCCACTGCGGTCCCAGATGGCTTTGCCTGTGGGACATTGCTCTGAGATAAGGTCCCCAGGAGGAAGCTGCCCTCTTCCTGACTCACTGATCCCGAGAGACCTGGTTTTCCGCAGAGGACCCTGTGCTTGTCACCTCCTGAGACTACACAGCTGAAGTTGCCACACCCCTTATGCCACCTCTTGTCACTGAGCTCCATTGCTCAGCGTGCTCCCCTGACCATCAGCGGTTCCAGGCTGGGGACCTGGGTTAGTGGGGCAGTGGCCGGTTCCATCCCCAGCTCTGGGAAAAAAAATGGTGCGTGATTTCCGTGCATTTGAGATCTGCTGTCCCTGGCTGGTCCACCTCTACACTCAGGCCTCTGTAGGGCCTGAGCTGGCTGTAACGAAGCGAAAGGGCCGTCCAGCTGACCTCCATGTCCTGGAGTTCAGGTGGCCACCAGACGGAGTCTCTGAACAGACGGGGTGGGGGCTTTCTCCTGAGCCCCCTGTGCCACCCCAGGGATATTCTAGCCCCCCTAGGGTGCATCCGCCAGGGCTGGGCAGGCTTCCTGTGTGCCTTTATGTTGCAGTTGTCAGCAGGACTGTATACCTTCAGGGTGGCCGTTTCTGGTGAGAAGGCCTCTGGAGAGGGCTTTGTCAACGTCACTGTGAAGTCAGGTAGGTGTGACGGATGGCCTGCTGCTCTGTGGGTCATCTTGATTTTGGCGTCTGGGTGACAGGGCCAGGATGTTGACTTCTACCTTAGGGTCCGTGATGGGAAGGCCTGTGGATCCCAGGTGGCTGTGTTTTCCTGCCATCTGAGGACTGCTTAGTACCTGCTGGACTCGCAGCTCGGCCTGCTCGGTTCCTGAGGGGTGGCGGTTGGACCTCAGCCTCCTCTCTGACCTCCGTCCACTCCCCTGCCCTCCTGCCCTCAGGGCTCAGCTTCAGCTTGGGAGCGGGGGTGTTTTAAACACACCCACTGGAGCCACCTAACCATGTTAAGCCACCTATACATGTTCCCGGTCAGGGGACAGGTCTGCAGTGAGCTTTGTGTCCACTCCTGGGCTGTACATCAGGGCATCCATGTGAATCAGAGCACGTGGCCTTTGCCCTGGGGCCACAGCCCTGGTCAGGGAGTAGGCCACAAGCCGGCCTTCAGCCTCCAGCACCGCTCAGCAGGGCGGGGCTCAGCCTGTGCCACGGAGATCTGCCAGGTCCCCTCCTCCCTGTTGCTGGTCGGCAGCTGGCCTTCTGCCCACTCGGCATGATCTTTATCATAGCTGGAGCATGGTGGTGGCTTTGGGCATCATCAGTCAAAGATCCAGACGCAGCCCATCACAGGAGCTGGAGCCGTAGACTGCTGCTGCTCTGACGGAGGGACCGGCCCCGTGTCATTCTTCCCTGTCTGGCTGGGCCTTGGTCACAGTCAGAAATGTGAGCTTGCAGAGGACGCTGACATTCACGGGAAAGTGCTAAAGCTTCAGAACCTTCTCTAGGTGGAGGCCTGCGGGGAGACGCCCTCTTGGCAGGATGCTTCAAATCAGGGTCAAAAGCCGTGGTCGTGTGGGGTGGCCCTGTGCTCGCACAGCCGGGCTCAGGGCTGTCTTTCTGTCTCAACAGCCAGAAGAGTCAACCTGCCTCCCGGGGCCGTGGTTTCTCCCCAGAGACAGGAGCTTGCTCCGCCCACGACAGCCGCGCTCATCGATGGCAGCGGTGTGTGTCCCCTGAAGCGCCTCGGTTTCGCCCCCACCCCCCAGGATCTGACTGTCCCTGCAGCAGGCCTGGGGACTCGGCCACCACGCGATGAGCGTGTCCTCCTCTAACTTCTGTTACAGCTCCTCAGCTTTGTCCTCACTGTGTCCTCGTCTGTGCCCCCTTTCCCTTCCGCTGTCACCTGGGTCTGTAAGGAACTTCTTAAGGCCAGCTCATTGACCTGGACCTAAAGCCACCAGTCAAGAGGATGTGTGTGACATACGTAAAGGGCAGCTGGGAAGCCACTTTAAAGTAGCCTGAGTGGGCTCCCATCAGTGAGGTGGGAGTGTCCCTGGCTGATGTGACCAGGGTTCCTTCTCTCTAGTGGAGAGGCCCCAGGGGCTACAGGTGGCCACGCAGATAAGAAGAGCCTGGCGTGTGTGTGGTATCTGCGTGTCGTGTCACTTGACCACAAAGCTCATGCAGATCCCCTGGAGAGCTGTCCTGGCTGCGGGGAGAAGAGCAGGGCGCAGGGGTCACGCCCACCTGACCCTTGCGTCTGTCCAGATGGGCAGGTGCACGTCTCCCCTTGCGACCTGAAGGTGAGGCATATTTTAGATGGAAGTGTTTACAGGAGAAGACGCCTCGCGTTTAGATTCAGTGCAGCTTAGTGACAAGAAATCAGAATAGTCTGCCACTTGAACCTGTGGTTTCCTTTAATGAATTTGATGAAACGGGCCCCTGCCAGGTCTCGCTTTCTATAATTCCACATGAAACATTTTGCTGTGTTTTAAGTGGGAACTTCTCAGGCAGGATCAGACCTTTCTAGATTCACGCCTTAATAATGTCTGTAGGGAAGCTTTGTCTGAATGACAGAGAAGCAGCTCTTCACATGGTCAGCATGGGGGGGTTCGGAACCTGTGAGTGGGGTCCCTCCTGCAGGGGGCGGGGGGAACCAGCCTCTCCATGTGCTGTGCTCTTCACACCTGTTTTCTCAAAAAACAACACCGTCACTGTGCTTCTTAAAACTCACGTGGTGGGAACGTCCTCACTCGGATCTGCCCAAATCCGGGAGAAAGACAGAGATCATTTAGGGAGTAGGAAAATGGTCCTTTCTAATACATAATATGTGCCATTGAGCTCTATGCAAGAGTCTCATATAAAATGAATTTAAAGGGGGCTGGGGCTGGGGCTCAGTGGTCAAGCGCTTGCCTAGCATGTTGAAGCACTGGGTTCGATTCAGCACCACATGTAAATAAATAAAAATGAAGTTTGATCAACAATTAAAAAAATAAATTCAAAAAATGGATTTAAATTTGGAATTACATAAGTCACAAAGTTTATGCTTTACTCTTCTTGGGTTTCATTCTGGTTTCTGCTTTTGACCTTTCAGGGGAGTACAGATGACTCTGAGATAGTGAGCTATCGCTGGGAAGCCGTCAGCGGGCCCCTCGTCCGACACCCCCGTCCTGCGCGTGGCTAACCCTGCTCCTGGCAACCACACCGTCAGGCAAGTGGGTCCTGTTGCCACTGTTCATTGCTTCCCACTACTTACGTTTTGACTGCCTCCTTGAACTGAAGCCTAAAAGTCGCTGTGCTCTTTATCCTGGTCCACAGGAGAGGTGGATTTGGTTTCCTCGGGGTTCTGGTTGGCGCCTCCGCAGGCTGATTCTCCCCGATTCCTGTGACCTGTTCACTGGAAGTGTTTGTTTTGGGTGTCAGCAACTGACTGGGGACTATAACAGAGCACCCTTTTTGCTCTGTTGAGTTACAAAAAAGAAAGTCTGCATCTTCAAAGGGAGGCAGAGTTATGGGATTGTCTGTTAATTACCTGGCGATTTCAATCTTTCCTTCTTATGACTTTCTAGGGTACAGCTGAAGTAAGGGGAACTGCCCATATTCAAACTGTGGAACTCAGTGACTCTTGGCCCATGTGCACTCCTGTGAAGCCTCCACCCTGGTGGAGTCAGTGAGCATTTCTATTGCCCCCAAAGCTCCTCTTGCCCTTCCAGGCAGCCACTGGCGGGCCTCCTGCCACCGATGACCATTTTGCATTCTGTAACTCGTGTCCCTGGAGGGCACCGTAGCTGCTCCTCGCCTGCGCTGAGGATGACCTGTGTCGTCCGCATCACAGGGTTCCCTGGCCTCGGCTGAGTCTATGTGAGCGTAGGGTGCAGGAGAGAAGGAGCACCTTCCAGGATTCGCTGCCGTCAACTGACAGATGAGACAGGAGAAAAGGCCGAAGGCTTAGTGCAGGGGAGGACGCTCCCGGCCAGGAGGCGGGACCTGGAGGGAGTCGCCCCCTCAACACTGCTCCAACTCTGGGCCCTTTGCCTGACGGGAGGGAACCACTGAGGCTCCTGGGCGGTTCTTAGGGGAATGCTGACGTGAGGACTGCTTCAGGGGAAGTCCATCAGCGTGGGCTCATGCCTCAGCCTTCCTCTCTGCTGTGGACAGCTGGGTGTCAGGGTGGGGAGGGAGGGCAGGTGTGTTCCTCGGGGTAGGTGAGGCCTCAGTGCAGACGAAGGGAATCCAGAGAAAGTCTTTCCCTTTACTCGAAATTGTTCAGTATGCCCCCCAAAAGTCATATACTGGGGTATCATCTTCTGAGCCCCAACAGTAGCTATGCCGTGATTCACTTATCCATTCGTCCACAAAGGACATTAGCCCCAACAGTAGCTATGCCACGATTCACTTATCCATTCGTCTACATGGACATTAGCCCCAACAGTAGCTATGCTGTGATTCACTTATCCATTCGTCTACAGTGGACACTTAGGGTCTTTGTTTGAGAGGACCTCACTACATTGTCCAGGCTGTTCTTGAACCCCTGGGCTCAATGGGCTCAAGCCATCCTCCTGCCTTAGCCTCCCAAGTATCGGGGATACAGGTGCACCCCACTCCACCTGCTGAAATCTGGGTTCTCTGTGGCAGAACAATTATAAATAAAGCTGCCGTGAGCATGTCTCTGGGAGGACATAGATTTGCATTTGGGGATGGAGACTGAGAGGCAAATGGCCAGGAGGGGAATGAGGGGAATGCCGGCTCAGTGCAGTTCTCTTTCCCACGGTGGCTCTGCCCTCCGACCTCCCGGGAGTTCTGTCTCCACACTCGTGTCCCTCCCTCCCTCCCGTCCCCACCCCCCCATCTCCCTTGTGACCCTGAGACTCTGCTCCCAGTTATCTCTTGGACCCTACTGACTTTTCTCACTTAGCTCTTCTCTTCTTGATTGGAGCAGAATTCCAGGTGGCTGCAGCTACATGAGGTGTCCCTTCTGCTGCTTCCCAGCTGTTAGACCTAGACCGGCCCCATGGGTCTGCAGACCTGGAGTCCGGCTGGGTTTGGGGTCCTTCAGAACCTGCTGGGTTCTGTCTTTGACCACAAGGTCCACAGAGGAACTCCACAGTTGTGTCAGTTTGTGTTTTAGTTTATTTGAAATGTCAGCTTAGAAATTATTCATCCATTTCACATTCGGATTGCTAAAAAGGAAAGAAGGGAGGGAGGAAGGGA